AAATATAAACGAACCAAAACTGCCAAAAACGAAGAATCGAATCGCCAATAGATTCGCCGAAAAGCTCCTTTCTCCAGGACATCAGCCGCATCTCTTCCCAATAAGCACAACAAGACTTGGGGCTAAAAAGCAAATAAATCTTCAATTATCCAAAGAAAACTTACTTGTGCAAGGTATAAATACAAAACATCGTCCGTGACAGCGGCTATCGTATTTCGATCTCGATTCGCGCACACATAATGAACAGGAGAACAATCAGATGAGCTCTCTCCATTCCACGGTAAACGAATTTCGGCCTCACATCCATACTAAAAGAAAGGAATTTGTTTTTACATTGCTAAAAGGCTTACCGGGAAGAACATGAATTATGAATCTTGAGTTTAACGGGTTGAATAACTTCGCATTTATCGTTTTACCTAAAACTTTGACATTTTTAGCGGAGTTCAAGGATAAATTGTGTGAGGACAAAGGTCTGGAGAAAAGATGGTGTAAATTCAGTTGGAGGGTCGGGATGGAAAGCACACTAATGAAGGGTCAATAGGAAGCAGCGGAAAGTGGAGAAGGAAGATTACAGGCGGTCTTATTTTGTCTCCTCTCAAAGGGCATTCATTTCCAAGTAGTTTTGTCTGAATTTTACCCAGAAACATCATTTATTGTACCGCTTGGGGGTTGAAAATTTGTAAAAAAGGCAACGATACTGTTTGGGCTCTGATTTCTCTCGTTTGAAAGTCTGAGGTTTTTATAGCTTTTCTTTCCACAAAACAAATTTGCATATTGCGTGACAGCCTTTTTCGAAAATTATTGAGACAATCCAGATTAAAGCGCTGCCACGCGGTATGCAAATTGAGATTGTGACATAAAAAATTTTTCGCTTTTTCTCTATACTTTTGAAGTACCGATATTTTTGATACTGAAATGCTCCGTTTTCTTTTTTCACTCGAGCTTTTTTAAAATTCTGCGATAAACGAGATTTTTTTAACTCTTTATTAAATTTTCTCTATCACAGTAATTTTAAAAAAGCTCGAGAGAAAAAAGGAAACGAAGCATTTCAGTATCAAAAAGTGTCTCCACATGGGGACACTTTATGGGGATATTTGTGGGCGGTACTTCAAAAGTATATTTTTCTCACACAATTTTTTTGACCTTGTCGTGGCCTTTAATTAAAGAAGAAGCACAGATTTTGATATGGTTCAGATTTTAGGTCTTTTTCGTTCATAAAAAAAGATTCTTCTCCACTTTTTTGTATTATGCATCCACGATCTCTTTTCCCTCATGTCTCTTCCGAAAAGTTGTCTCTAACAAAAAACTCTGATAAAGTTTATATAAAAAAAAACCATGTTGTGTTAAATGCACCAAAAACTTCCCGGATCTCTATGAATGCGTTTTTTTGTTGTTAATCGACGTGAACAGTTGTCACTCAAGAGAGTTTCCTTTTCTCCCTCTTTTCCTTTTTTCCTTGGTTACTTTATGACTACCAACTTGGTTTAATGGATTTTCACATTTAGAGATTTGAAGACATCAATGCAAAGCTGATGGACGGGTTAAGACGTGCGGGTGGCCTTACCGCTCAAGCACAACTACTATGGCGAGCAACTTCGCAACCACGTAAAAAGGTATTTGCTGATTTTTTTTTATCGGTGATAGTAGAAATTATTTGATTTTTAGTTGTTGATTGACTTCTCCTCGCCGAACGTCGCAAAACAATTTCACGTGGGTAATCTCAGATCGACACTAATCGGACGATTCATCGATAAGGTTGCTTAAACTTTTAAATGACCTAATACAATTTTCTTAAGGCGCATCGAAATTTGGGCGATGATGTGACTTCGTTGAACTATCTCGGTGACTGGGGAACTCAATTTGCACTCATCGCTGCATATTGGCCACAGGTTAGTACTTTACGCAATTAATCTCCCCTTTTAATTGAGTTCAAAATTTGAAGATCTAAAAGTCATTGGAGACCTATATAGAATCGACCTTCCGATGCATTTTGGACAAAAGTGAGCGATGACGAAAAAATGAAGTTGATCCAGCAATGTTATGTTGTTGCTAATAAGGCAAGTTCACGTTTTTTGATGGATTTATTTTTGAAAATTAGATGTTAACGACCGAAGGTGATTTCAGAGTGGTTGTACGTGACACGTATAAAAAGATGGAAGATTTCCTTGTCAAGTAAGATTTATAAATTTTATGAGTTTCCTTTTTATCCAGTAGAGAAATATGAATTTTTAGAGGAGTAATCGAGGATGAGGTGATGCTACTTTGGAGGGATATTCGATCATTATCCGAAAGACATCTCGCACATTTTTACAAATTACTGGATATCACTTTTGACAAGTACGCTCTGTTTAAAAAAAAATAACCAGTCATTTGTTTTATTTAGAACCTTTTTCGAGTCGGACGAAGTAGCAGGTGCAAGAAAAGTTATCGATGAATTGGTTCAAAAGGGATTGCTGTGAAGAGAGCAGATGGATTGTAAGTTTGACGGGCTTATTCTTTCATGAAATCATTTTAGATGGGTAGTTGAAATGGAGAAAAAGAATGCCGAGGGTAAAGAAGAATATTCAATCGTAAAGAAAAGCGATGATACAACACTTTACTTGACAAGGTAAGAACTATTATGATTTTACCATTTTTGTTTTATTATTTTAGAGATGTGGCTTCTATCTTACGACGTGACAAATTATTCGGAGCTGATCGGTACCTCTATGTTGTTGATCGAGCACAAAAAAGGCATTTTGAGGTAGATATTTTCTTCAAAAATGGCAGAGTATTTACTTTGTGTAGGAAATCGGCTATGTTCTTGGCAAAATGGGACGACGAGATTTGGCGGATAAAATTGAACATGTCATATTTGGACGTGTGCAAGGATTGTCGACAAGGTAAATTGTGATGTTCCATGCCAAGATTGGTCTCTTTGTCGCACATATTCAATTTTGTTCAGATTAGGCAAAACGGAAGCTGTCACAGATGTCATCGAACGAGGCTCAGAATTGGCAAGACAATACATTAAATCAAGTCCCACCGCCAAAGTCAAAGAAGAGGAAATAGCACAGGTTGTAGATGTTCAGCAAAAATATTCACCAAGTTGCTTAGTTATCACGCGTGCTTGCTTTGGATGCTATCACGGTGAACACGTTGAAGAGAGCGCGAGCTTCTGAATACGAGTTTACTTTCAAAAATGCTTTTGCACTCAATCAAAACAACGCTCTTCTTTTACAGGTTTCTTTACCCAATTTGGATATTTTAAGCCTGTTTAGGAGAAATATTCACGTTTATGTTCGATTGAAGCTAAAAATGCCGAGTTGCTCCCCAAGTTAGATGAGGATTCGAGAATCAGCGAGGGTTTTTAATAGTGGTTAATAAGCATCAATGTGCCATTTAGATGAAGGAGCAAAACAATTGATTGATTTCCTTAACGCAACGCCAGGAGTTTTGGTGGAGAGTGCTCGCCGGATGGAACCATGTCAACTCACCGTTCATCTTATTCAACTGGCACATCATATTGGAAGAGCCATTGCCAACCAAAAAGTAAACATTTCGATAGCAAGATTTATATTCGATATTCATTTTTATAGGTTTCTGGGGAGTCGATTGATGTGGCTGTGCCTCGTCTTCGTTTGTTGCTGACAGCTCGTCAAGTGTTGGCCGATGGGATGACATTATTAGGACTGAAACCGACTAAAGAAATGTGACAAATAGCACCGTCTGATCCGTAAGTGCCAAAGTTTAGTATTGATGTATCTGCTAACTTTAGATGGAATTTCAATAATTATATACACGGTCAATTGCGGATAAGCCAAATGGAGACAAGAGAATGGAATCGAGGACGAAGATTTAATAAAGGAAAAAAGGGAAACCGATTTCAGCACTTAAAAGAGGTAGTCGGTGATAAAGTTCTGTAAAACCATTTTCTAGGTTTTGTACTGGAAGTGGCGCAGAATAACAGGACGAAATCTAACTCCTCGATGCCATTTTCATTGTGCGGATGATCGTCATCAGCATTAATTTGACTTATTTCTTTCCGTTCAATTCGTTGACGAACCGTGAAGAAACTGCGATCATTATTTTATGGGTCTTTCATTTAAAATTTACTACGCTTTGGATCAGACGGTTAAATTACAAATTCAGTTTTTTTGGTACTTGTATGGTTTACATGACCCATTTTTTTGCTCGAAATGGAAATGGATTATGGCGGTTTTAAGGTGCGCTGAATTCGAATTTCGCCATCCCAGGTTGGGAAAATGCACTCCAACCGAGTTATACAATTTTTGAAAAACGTGTTTTTAGGCGTTTTTGATGTTTTAAATGCAAATTTTACTAGCAGTTCGGCTTAACCCAATGGGCTTGTTTAACCTGTTCAAACACGTTTAAGATCTTTATAACGCCCTGAAAATAACCAAAAGTCAGCATCCGATCTAATGATCGCCACACCAACGTCATCAATGAGTTCCTATGGAAGCAAGAATTTGGTCATGCTTCAGCGTTCAACTTCTGGAATGAAGTTCGTGACATGTATCCCTGCGAGCAATAAGGCTCATTTAAAACATCAAAAGCGCTTAAAAACACGTTTTTCAAAAATTGTATAACTCTGTTGGTGTGCATTTTCCCAACCTGGGATGGCGAAATTCGAATTCAGCGCACCTTAAAACCCCAAAGTGGTCAATTTCGAGAAAAAAAATGGGTCATGTAAACCATACAAGCACCGTTTTTCTTTTCTTAAATCTATTTTTTCATGCTGAATATAGGCTTGTTAGATTCCGTTTTGTATTTTATGGTTTAGTTTTTTTGTTACTTGAGTTTATAAATTTTATTCTGATAAAGCATCACCAAAGCTTAAAAATAAAAACTGAGGTAATATTGATCAAAATCAAAACGAATGAACAGCAAGGTTTCTAAATTGGTGTCTAGCCGTATAAATATATCGTTGAGTATCAAAATGGGTTATAAATAAATACAAACAAAACAACGAAAAATCATTTAAATAGATTGTGCATTCACTTCTTTGGATGAGCAAACTCCTTCAAGTGCTGTGGATTCTTTCGACTACAAAGTGATCCCCATCTAGAATTAATGGGTTGCATTTAGTGATATAAAACCGTTACTTGCAAGCTGGCAAGTCCTTCTGCTCGTCTTTTTTGTCATCTCCCATATTTTCCTCATTCGACTTCCTTTTCTTGCTCTTTACAGGGCTCTTTTCCTCTTCTAGCTTTCTCTTCCTTGGGCTGCGCTTTGGGCGATGTGTTCTAAATATGCCAAACTATGACTCATACTAAAAGAAAATTACCTCAACAGCGACATTTTGTTCATTTTCTTGCTTCAATAAATGCTTTGTGTCATCATCTTCGCCCTGAATTATTAGACAACTAGTATAAATGGCATCATAGGTTTGAAATTAACATGGTTAGAGCTCACCTCCGAATCGTGCATTGCTTGTCCCAGAGCTAGCTTGTCTTTTGAATAAATTGGGAGTGAATCATCTTCGTCTTTATCAACATCACTTTTTTCTTTTGAATTTTCGAACAAGATCTAAAGCGAAAAATAACTTGAGTCTGGCCTTAATGCCAACCTTCAATTCCCTGAGACATGTAGCCGTTTCTACATCTTTGTCGTCACGAATTTTTGTCACACGTGGAAAACGAATCGAAATTCCGTCAGCCGTATGGTTTGTGGATCGAGAGAATTCGGCGCCTATGAAACAATGCATATTCTAGGGGTCCAGATGTTAAAAAAACCTGTAATTTCCCAAACTGGTGCTTGCTTTGGATCCATCATAACAAAATCTGGGCACAATTGAGAAGAACAACGAAGCCATTTGGGAAGCTTTTCGACATCTCGTTTAATAGCACGCATCTAAAACCTTCATAGATAAAAGTTTGATCAAAAAAAGCACTTTTGGCTTCAATTCCTTGTTCAACCTGTCGAGAACTTCATCTGTGTGTCCATTACCCATTTTACAAACAGTCCGATACGTTTCAGTGTCTTCATCATATACTCCCATCAGAAAGACCGACATTTTACCGCCTATTAATTCCTTTTTTGAATCAAGTTCAATTTCTAACCTTTGTTTCCAGTTCCATAATAAGCTCCAAGAACAATCAAATCAGCAGTGTCAGCCATACCACCATCCTCCAAATAATCTTTCTTCACTTTCAACCAATGGCGCTTTCCAGGCTCATACACTCCATTCAAATCCTAAAAGCTTGGGTTACATCCAAAGAAACATTGAATACCTTGAGAACAAGCCCTTCCAATCCTTCATCAATGGCTTTGAGAATCATAGTTTTCAATTTATGATTTTCCTAAAATTAATGTAAAGTGTCAAGTGTATACAAAACCAACTCCATGCTTGATCACTTGATAATTACTGTGCATCACGTGATTTGGCACCTCCTTTAAGGTATCTTCCAAGAATTTCTTCCTTTCGGAGAGCGGCCTAAAAACCTTTTGTAAAACGTACATGTCTATAATACTTACTTGTCCTTAACAGGTACATCATCATAAAGCAGACAATCAAATACAAACAAGCAAGGAACAGCATTCGAGAATTTCTCTTTTTTGTGAATACCAAGTGTTCCAAAGGGAAGAGGTTTGCCTAAAAAATCAATCTTTTAAAATAGGATGTACACCCTACCAGTAGCTGTGTCAACCATCAAAATTTCGGCATCCAAAATCAGGTCTTTGGCATCAGGGAAAGCTTTGACAATATACTTATCAACGAGAGCAACCTATCATCACATTTTCTGATCAAGTTTAAATTTCACAAACCTTGTGTTTTACCACAGGCTTCAGCGAACGTGAAAAAAAGTCAAATTTGTCTCCCTAAAATGATTCTTCTTTGATAACAGCTGCCTATTCACCTTTTTATGTATTTGAACACGTTCTCCATCGTACTTGATTTCAGCCAACATTCCATTTGAACATCTTTTCATGGCAAATTCAACACTCTTGCATGCCTCAGCCTAAGTTTAATAATTTACATCAAAACTTGATAATGGACTCACCAACATAGGAAGAATTGGTGTTCCAAGAGTGATGTTCACCTAGAAGCAAGGTATAAAAACGTTGGAAATCTTATAGTACCGCAAGCGAGGACTTTTCCCCTGAAATTGCTCCTGTTTCAACTCGTTTGACAATATCCGCTAGATCCCTGAACAAAAGAAAAGATTTACTAACTGTAAATTTTTAAAAAACCTGCAACTCTGGAAAGCCTCATAAGCATTGGGATGAAAACCATCAAAGATGACTTTTGCACCTAGATAAATCAAGAAAAGTTAAACTTCTGACTGGTTTAAAACCTGCGTTAAACCGCATGTCCTTTTTGATCAACCGCAGAAGGTATTGCAATTCTCGTGGAGAAAGCCTAAATCAATTTAGATGTTTTTTGAAACGTTTCCATAATTACCTTTTTGTAGCAAAACGTAGATGCTCCAGCTGATCTTCATCGTGAGTTTTTTGTGCAAGTTTATCTAGCCAACGATCAATCTGTACTTAAAAATTAACGACCACACCAAAAATCAATGCAACCTTTTGAATACTCCAATCGCTCTTTTCAACAGAAAATTTGAAATTCTCAGCGGCTTCTTTAATTGTTTGCGAAATGTCGCCATTCTTATTATACTCGTCTGTGAGTTTCGCAGGTGGTACTCCAAAAATCTAAACAGACTTTGAAAAACCTAGAAAAAAATTGCTAGCCTGAGCAAAGTGCTTGATTAATTGACGTTCTTTAATGTTGTACACGCGCTGATCAATGCTGGGGATCAGGAAACGAAGAATAAGCAAGGTATCACCGTCATACCCATCTAAATAAAAGTATTTTGTGAATAGATAATTTAAATTACCCGACTTAAAAAAGCGGCGTACACAATCGGCTTTGTCAAGATGCTTGTTAACGTCTGCAATGAGCTCGCAAAGTTTGCACAACTAAAAGAATTCCATAATAGCTTTTCCATTTTTTAACCTTTGTAAACAAATTGAATTTGCTTTCTTGGTTCGCTTTACTCTCTTCCGTTTCCGGTTCTTCCTTTTTCACAGCCTTCAATGGTTCTCTCTTGCTGAAGAAGGCAGCTGCCTTAGCACTGCTTTGCTGCTCACTATCCTCTTCCTAAAACCTCACTAAACTGTCTAGTGAAAATAAGTTTTGAAACAAAACTAGATTCCTCCAAAGCTACCTTTTTGACAGCTTTTTTAACAATTGGTGTCAAAGTCCTCTGAACGCCGCCTCCCTTTTTCTCGCGTGTTTTCACCAAATCATCGATAAGCTCGGTGACTTTCACCTTGTCTTCATCAGTCATGTCAATCCAACCTACCCACAAATAGATTTAAATGCTTAATTTTATTTTACCTTCAAGATCACCGGGCTCCTCAATCACTTTTGTTGTGGCGCGAGCCTTCATGAAAGTGTCAAAAAGACAAATTGGATGAAAATACCTGAATGTTCAAAATATGTTTCAAATTTTAAACAACCCACGATTTCATATCCGGTGGAGGTCCTTCCGCATTTTGGACAAACGGATTGGGCGTGACCTTCGCCAAGCGTAATTCCTAAATTCAACATTTGGGCACCTGGACAACAATTTTAGATCTACAAGTTGAAAGCACTCACTCCTTTAGGTAGTTGCAATTTACATTTCTTGCAACCAGCTGCACGGACGGCATAGTCGCACGAGTAACGGGTACTCATCTCTGAAATGAAAAGCGAGTCGAGTGAAAGTTTGGCCACAAATTGCACGACAGCGCGAAGCATTAGCACATTGCGCTAAATTTTTAAAGAGAGAAAATCCCGCCTTGACAACGAGAAAAAAAGAACGCACAGAAACAAAATACTAAACGAGGGTAGGGGCTGATTTGCTAAGAGAATATTTGCACTCAAACGCGTAGCCACACGTTACAGGGAAGGGAAAAGGGGTGAGGTGTGTGAGTTTCGAAAAAGGATGACGGCATGAAAAGATGAAAGATTTACGGGACAAGATTATGAGAACTAGAAATGCAAGTGAACCGCGTGCGATAATAAAAATTAGCATTCTCTATTGAGAAAAGCAAGTAACCGAGTGCAATAAAGATATTCAAGAAAAGAACTTAAATTTCTCTTGAATATCTTTTGTTCTAGCATAATTTAAAGGATATTAACTCAAGAAGGGTAACACAGTCGCACTTTGGCTGTCCCTCTTCCTAACTCCTCCCTCATTTTCGCGCCCATCTTCCTCTTTGATCATTCTTACGCGCACTTTACCCCGCCTAAGCGGATATCTCTCTAATTTTTATGCACAAATGCATATTTCTTTTAGCTTTCCGTATTTTTATATCTCAAACTTTTTATATTTTTGCTTCTAGAAGATGGACGACGTAGTGATGCTGTCGTCAGATGATGAGAAACCATCCTCGTCACAAAATAGCCGTCCTTCTGTCACTGTTTCGAGCACGGCAAAAAAACAGGCGAAAATGTTGGACTACTATTCAAGTAAAACAGGAGGTAACTGTTCTATTGTATCTTAAAATTGAGCCCCTAGAGAAGTTTTATCTTTCGACAAAATGACAACTTTAGGTGGAACCACGAAAGCTAAACAAGCGACTCCAAGTGCGACGGTGAAAACGAACTCAAAGTCCAGGAAATGTCCCAACGAATCCAGGTTTGTTATATTAAAAGTTTTTAACTTTAAATTTGTAGTACCCCGAACGAGGAGACACTGAATAGTAAACAACCATCTACTAGTCAGTTGGGGAAGGTAAAAGATGAATCCGATAAAGTAAAATTTGGTCTTGTTACCAAACTTATGTTTTTTTATAGAAGGAGCAAACGCTCACTCCCTGCATTGCTCCCAACACTGGTATCATGAAGAGCCCTTTGCCTAGCGAGGAAATTGAGGAAAAGGCTAAGAATATTTTGAAAGTGAGGATTTGATCTGTGAACATATCTAAGTTTTAGTAGAAAGTATTTGGTTTTTCTTCATTTCGGAACATTCATCAAAGAAAAGCGATTTTGGCTATTTTGAAACGTAAGTTTTCTTAACTTATAAGTTTTATATTTGCTTTAGGGGACAATGATGTTTATATCTCTTTTCCTACAGGAGCTGGAAAGTCTCTTTGTTATCAGGTTTTTTTTTGGCGGCTTCTTGTAAGCAAAAACTTTAGCTCCCAGCTTTGCTTTATGGTGGAATAACGATTGTCGTTTCACCTCTAATAGCGCTAATTGTTGACCAGGTAAAACTATTTGTATACACAAAATACAAAGTATTAGGTGACTGCACTACAACAGAAAGGTATTCGGGCCGTTGCGATAAACTCAAAAATGACCGCCGATGAAAAAAGAATCGTACACGAGGTTGTTTCTGAAAATGTAAAACATTAAAGTGCTTAAGGATTTACGACAAACGATTCCAACAATTAAGCTGTTGTATATTACACCAGAAGGAGCTTCATCGGATCCTATTCAAAGGTAATTCTTATTGAGAGGCTTTACATGTATCAAGCATTCAGACTACTTGAATCCTTGAACAAAAGGAATTTGCTAAATTACATTGTAATCGACGAGGCACATTGCGTAACGCATTGGGGACATGACTTTCGGTACATTTTTGAATTTTCTTTATCTTGTTAATAAATTTAGGCCTGACTATCTGAGGCTACGCTCTTTAAGAAAAATCGCTCCACAAGTTGTTTTCATGGGTTTTAGTGAGCTAACAAATTTTAGGCCTTTTGGATTGCTCTTACAGCCACCGCTGGGAATCAGGCGGAAGATGACATTCAAAAGCAACTAGAAATGGTCAAGCCGCGAATATTCAAAGTGCCTATGTCTTAGAGGCTTCTTTTAAAGTACAGGATTTAGACTGGAACCTATCGATCAAACCTTTATTATGATGTCCAAATCAAAGAACTTATTCAAGGGCAAACACCTGAGGTCGGTTACATAGTTTTTTTTTATTGTGTATTGCATCGTTTTAGCAACATTTGATTAGATTCATTACGAGGATACTTTTTGGGAAAAATGATGACGTTGACCTAAGTGAGGTATTTAAACGTGTTTTTTCTTTGACTAACTTAAATTTTAGATAAAAACTTTCCCAGGTTCAGGAATTATCTATTGTCGCACCCGCGATGAATGTGAACAAGTATAAAATTTTTTTAAACTCTCAAACTTTACCATTTAGATGGCTAGTGTTCTGGCAAAACTGGAAATGAAGGCATTACCGTATCATGCCGGGTTGAGTAATAAGGTATATAGCTTATTATCTTTTTATAATTTTATATTTATTCAGGTTCGAGATGATGTCCAGGACAAATGGATGCGAAATGAGTTAGCAGCGATTACCGCAACGATAGCTTTTGGAATGGGTATCGATAAGCCGGATGTTAGGCAAGCTTTGCTAGCTTTATGATAAAACTTGTTCATGTGTAGATTTGTGATTCATTGGACTTGCCCTTCAAATATGGCAGCTTATTATCAGGTTAGCAAAGGGTGATACTCAATATGCCACTTTGTTTCAGGAGTCAGGGCGCGCTGGTCGTGACAAAAAGCGCTCGTTTTGTCGAATTTATCACAGTAAAAGTGATAGTGGCATTCTCAAATTATTGATTAGCCGGGAGCTTGGCCAAATAAGAAACAAATCGAATATCAGTGAAAAAGCGAGGGATGACCAAATGAAGGCTATTACGCGTGGCTTTGAAAAAATGATGGGGTACATAGAGTTACCGAAGTTTGTTCATTTTGTTTTGTTGTTTAAATGGCTTTAGGTGCCGGCATGTTGCTATGGCGCAATTTTTCTCTGATAATGAGACAAAGGAGTGCAAAAAGAATTGTGATTATTGCGCAGATCCCAAAAAGGTAACAAAAATGAGTGATTTTTTAATTGAAAAAGATTTAGACAAGTAATCTCACGGATAAATTTCTAACATTGTCAAGCACTGCCCAAGCTTCCACCTCACGGGTAATGAGAAATTCGGCTGTCGATAGTGATCTTTATGGTGGAGGAAAAAGGTAATATCGGCAGTTTTGACCGTAGCGCAGTATACCTAATTATACCTTAATTTAAGGGGTTACAAAGAGGATAACGATGACATTTATGGATCGTTTGAAGATGGAAAGTCACGAATGGAACGAGAGCAGAAAGAAGAAAGATGTCAACTCATCGCTTCAGAATTGGCGAAGAGACACAAGCCCAACGTAGTTTTACTTTTAGACCCTAAAGTTAGTGTTCGTTTAGGTCAATGCGGAAAGAAATAATCCCTCTCAATCTCCAACAAATGAGCAGGGTTTGATTAGAAAATTTGCTGACAAAATTTTGGTTTAGCCTCTAAATTGGTCGGCGCTAGTATGACTCGGATTCCAAATGTAACAATAACGGTAAATATTTTTAATTTCTTTGCTTATTGCTCATTTAGAGGCGAATGGGGGTATTAACGACTTTCGAAACAGCTTTGAAGTCTAATTGGTTAGATGAGAAACATCAACTGGTTAGTAGCACCCTGGATTATTGATTTTTTTTGTACGGCTGGCTAATTTAGATACCAACTGCTGCCAAAGAAATGGAATGGGAGATTTACTCGTCTTCAAAATATGCAACGAATTACAATCACAAAGCTGCTTCAAAAGTTTTTGACTTTTATTTTTACAAAGGACTAATTTTAGCATTCGGAAATACAAAAGAAGACGAAAGAAAGCGTCGAGTTTGAATGGAAACCAAAAGAGAGGACATCGACTGTGCCTCCACAAGTGCAAGATGGTTTTGTTACAGCTGCACAAATGGTCGCTTAAGCCCCAAATGTCCATAAATATATTTATTCTTGTACTCTTTGACCATTTACTTTTATAGGATATACATACATGTTATGTTTATATTTTTCGGTATTGTGATAAATTGAATTGTTTTTTCCAATAAACCTTGTAAAAAGTTTTTTGTTATTGAGCAATTCCTAGCATATGGGATTCAAATCTCTTTTCTTTGTTCGCATTGGGATTGGGTAGGTGAGTACGTAGTGCTGCTATGTGCCCTGACCACATTTTTCCCTAGTCATAATAAATGTTTGGTTTTTATAGATTGCATGACATTGCTCTAATAGTAATATTTTGTCTCAAATCACAAAAAAAATTGAGTTGACATTTTTAGATTATTGTTGTAGAGAGGTGTGTGCGATGGGGGTACCGAAATTTTACAGGTTGGCTATTTATAAAGCGTTTGTGATAAAATGTTTTTAGATGGGTGAGCGAGCGTTATCCATGTCTCAGCCAAGTCGTTTCGGAGGCACAGGTAAGGCTAAATTTTTGCATAGGTAAATTCCTTCTCCAAATTCAGGTGCCCGAGTTCGACAACTTGTACCTTGATATGAATGGGATCATTCATTGCTGCTCTCATCCCGATGACGACGATGTCATGTTTCGGATCAGCGAGGAGCAGATTTTTACGGACGTTTCTGCGTATATTGATGTAAGTTTTAGGCAGGGTGTGGTATGTGATGTCTGTTTAGATGCTGTTCAAAATCATTCGCCCTAAACGTGTCTTTTTCATGGCAATTGATGGTGTTGCTCCACGCGCTAAAATGAACCAACAACGAGCAAGAAGATTCATGTAAGTACATATTTAGAATAGATTAAAATAATGTTTTTGCATGTTTACATGAGTAATATTTAGGTCGGCAAGAAATGCGGAATTTGCGTTAAAGAAAGCCATCCAGGACGGAGTAGAGATTCCTGAAGGAAGTCGCTTTGACTCGAATTGTATTACACCGGGTTTGTTTTTGTCTTTATTTTTGTATCATAGTTTAAAATTTAGGTACTCACTTCATGGTTGCGTTGCATAAACATTTGGACAATTGGGTTCAACACAAAATCGAAACAGATCCACTTTGGAGACAAGATGGAAAACTTCGAGTGGTTTTGTCCGGTCATGATGTTGGATTCATAAGCGACTTCAAAGTTTAAATTTGAATTTTAGTGTCCTGGAGAAGGAGAACACAAAATTATGGATTTTATTCGGGCGGAACGTATATTGTAGGTTGAAGTCAATTGAAGGGAGGTGTAGAAATAAATTTCAGACCAGAGTATGATCCAAATACACGACATTGCATGTATGGACTCGATGCTGATTTGGTAAGCAATTTGTTTGCCATTCAATCCACAAACTCCAGATGATGCTTGGACTTTCTTCACACGAGCCTCATTTTTCCCTTTTGAGAGAGGAAGTTAAATTTGGTAGAGTTCAACCATCAAAAAAGAAGGGAAATGATCAAGTGAAAAGGTTCGTTGCATGCGCACCTACTAAAATTTACCGTTGCTATTTAGAAAAGAACCGAAAAATGTTAATTTTCATTTGCTCCATTTACAATTATTCCGGGAGTATCTTGAACGCGAGTTTCAAGCATTAAAGGTAGATTCTCTAGACATTTAAATGAAGGTTATAAAAAAAAATTTAGACAAAGATTTCTTTTCCTTTTGACCTTGAAAATATTATCGATGATTGGGTGCTTATGGGATTTCTTATTGGTAAGTTTTTTTCTAACTAATCTCATAGTTATTAACATAGGAAACGATTTTATTCCACATCTTCCCAATGTACATATTCATGACGATGCTTTACCTTTGCTTTATAAAACTTATGCCGAAGTTTTACCAACTTTGGACGGTAAGTTTTAAAAAATATTTACACTGTAACAATTGAATGCTTTTAGGGTATTTGAACGAAAAAGGAATGCTCAACGTGCAACGGTTCGAGAAATTTTTGAAAGTCTTTTCGGAAACGGACAAGTTTGTTGTTTAAATAGGACCGATCTTGACAACATGTTACAGGAAAAGTTTCATGGAACGATTGGAAAATGAGGAGTATTTGGAATCAAAAACTGGCAGGCCAGTCGCTTCAGCAAAAGAGGGGACACCTCCAAATGCGGAAAAGGAGAAAGAAGAGGTTTTATCGAATTGCATAATTGATCGACCTTGAGCTATTTTCCCAGGAATTGGTTGCTTTTTCCGATCCGGATATGTCTTCTGCAACTGATGATGATGATGATGATGACGCTGGACCACATGACACAAGCAATGGTAAAAAAATTTTTTTAACCTTTAAAGTTTTTCTAGCTGCATTTGTATCGTCCGACGAAGAAGACTCTTCAAAACAATCAAATGAACGACCTGTTACAGGTGGAATTCTGTCTGCGGAAGATGCATTAAACGCAGAAATGTCAAATTCACAACCAGGTTTTTTGTTTTTCTTGCAACTTGAGTGTATAATTTTTAGACGACTATGATCCGTACGAAGAAGAGTTTCAAGAGAAATTGAAAGCATTAGAAATCAAGGATATGAGCGATAGCGAGTTTGAAAATAATGTTGAGGTTTGACCATTCTAGTTTCTTCTGATTTGTGTTTTATCAGAAATGCTGGTCGACGACGATAAACAATCAATTCAAACGTCATCGGCGGCAGTATTACAAGTGATTTGAAAGCAACATACATATTTTACGACTAAGTGGCTTTTAGAGATAAAATGAAATTTGGCAACATCTCTAAAACAGAATTGAAAGCACAAGCAGAAGGTTACATCCGAGCTTTACAATGGAATTTACACTATTACTATCACGGATGTGTTTCATGGAATTGGTTGGTTTATTTATGTTTATTTTAGCAATTATTTTCAAGGTACTACCCTTTCCACTATTCGCCTTTCATTTCGGATCTCATCAATTTCCACGAAGTCGACATGAATTTTGAATTGAGCACACCATTTCGGCCATTTGAGCAGTTGTTGGCCGTTCTCCCAGCTGCCAGTGCTGCATGTTTACCGTATCATTTACAAGTGAGTTGCCAAGAAAATCAAAGGTTATTGTCTTTTCAGCAACTCATGAAAGACCCAAACTCTCCAATCCACGATTTCTATCCAACCGATTTCGAGACGGATCTGAATGGCAAAGTGAATGATTGGGTGAGTTTCTTGCTTATTGTTAGATATTATTTCTTTAGTCCAATACTTTGACAGACGAATTTCAATTTAGGAAGCAGTCGTTCTTGTGCCATTTATCAATCAAGACCGCTTATTGGAAGCGATCAAATCAAAGGTATAGTGTTTGGCCATTAGCTTTAGTTGGGGATCAATCAGATTAATTAGCAACTTTTAGGAAAATTTGCTGAGCAACGAAGAAAAGGCTCGAAACGCACATGGACCACACATTTTGTACACCTGTGACATTAGCAAGTCCGATGGAAAACGAGCAATGTATTTTTCAAAAATTAATTCGAATGCATACTTATTTAAAGTCGAACGACAATTGACAAAAATGCTTTCCGTATTGACAAGTCAACGGTGATTCATGGTAACTTCTTGCAAGTAGATTAAATTTCAATGCAAATTTTATAGGATTACTTTCCGGCGTCAAGCTGGATGTGCATTTTCCGGGATTTCCGACTATGTGCCACATTCCACATACAGCAACGCTAGATTATGCCGGTGTTAAGGTTTCTGACTTTTCAGTTTATTTTTGCAAAGCCTCGTTTAGGTGTTCAATACTGGAAAAAGCAAGAAGGAAAGCATTATTTTAAAGCCAACGCAACGTAAAGAACTAGAAAAGGTATGCTTTTTAGAAAATTAATTCTGGCACTTTTGTATTCAGCCGTTTGAAACTTTGAGTGAAGAACTCCTCAATAAACAAGTCTACATCGATTGGCCGATGCTAGCTTTAGCACTTGTTTCTGAAATTTGGACAGTGGTAGGACCTCTGTTCTCTGAAGTGGGAAACCTAGCATTTTAGACTGAGAAGTACTTTATGAAAGATGGAAAGATCGAGAGGAAAGAGCTCGATCTCGATGATCAAAAGGATTTCAAGGATTGGGCTAGCGGCATTCGAGACATGTGAGTGACTTTATTTTTAGCTTTTATTTTACTTGTCTTATTTTAGTCAAATGAACCGATACGCCATTGATGTTGGGCCTATCAGTCATATTGTTTTCTGCAGAAAGTTTATGGGATTGTCCGTGACAGGTTTTAAAAATTTTTGCTTTGAGTAATAGTTCAAAACTTCTCAGTACGAGATGGTGTTGTAAAAAGACAAAAACAATGGGGATCTAGCATCCCCCACGAGATGTCTCGTGTTGCTCTGCAAGTCCTTGTATCGGTTAGTTCTCAGCAGTTTTCAAAAAAAAATTGTAGCTTTAGAACATCAACATTGAGGAAAACAGAGTCTTGTGCGATATACCGATCGAAGAAGCATATGCAGTCAACTCAAAGGTAGCTCTTTTAGTTACCAATCAGGCCTGTAGCCAGGGGAGGGCGCAAAAAGTATCATTTTTAAAAAGTTTGGCCCCTCTCCCGAAATCGAAAGTTGTGTGTTCCTTACTGGATAGCTCTTTTCTTTTAAAACGTCGAATTTTTTTCGAAAAAAGTTTCAATTTTCTCAGGGGCTCGAATCTTTTTGGCCCCCCCCCCCGAAAATTTTTTCTGACTACGGGTCTATACCCAATGTTTCTGATTGGTTTAGGTCTTTGTCATGCAACCCTCATGGGATGGCTTTGCACATCCTGCCGTTGTCAGCGAAATTGGAAACTCTGGAACACCAGAATGTATGTTTATTTATTCTTTTCATTTTAAATCTAGAACTTTAGGTCGAATCATCGTGAATGTGCATATCTATAAAGGCGCGGATGTCAGTGAGGTCCGTCAAACTCGTTTCAAAAATTCTCTGCACTGGTTTAACAGTTTTGAAGCTGGAAAGCGATCTGGAAGTGCGCCTTGTTTTTAATTAAGAAAAGTAATCAGAAATTAGTTACGACGAGGCTCCTCACGCGAATAACTGGAACTGTCTATCTTGTGACAGAGTCGAGAGAATTTTATGAATCAAAGCCGGCTACAACACCTCGCCTCAACATTGGACTTAACCTTAAGCTTACCAAGCAAAACAAGGAGGTTTGAATTTTTGCAAAAAATAATAGCACTTAACTTTTTAGGTTCCTGATTATTCCAAAAGAATACAAGAAAACGGATATTGGGAGTTTTCTAATCAAGCTGTTCAGCTTTTGATGGAATACCGCAACAAGTCACTTTTTGACTCTTTCATTAATCTTAAAGATTCAGATTTCGCGATTTGATTACGTACCTCGAAAAAGCTGAAGAAACAAATGAGCACTATTTCGCGGAGGATGTAAGTTCCTTTGCCCGTAGGAAATATTTTGATGCTTAGGTTTGGCCAAAAGAAGCTCTGAGGGAGAAGCGAGTCAAAGAGTTGAGAGAATACATGAAAGAAGTTCCAACAGCTTCCATCGAGAAAGTTGAGTGTTATTCCGAGTATCTCGACTCCCAATGCATCGGTAGTTTTCTCCGTACCTTGTGCATAATTTTACGTTGTTTTAGCTGCTTTGGAGAAAGTTTTACCCAAGCATGACACGCACGAGGTTCCGATTAGGAAGAAAAGCAGTATCAACCCAGCCGTACTCTATCGAGTATGTGTTTTAAATTCTCCCCAAAATCCTATTATTAGTACGCTTTGATGGATGGAAAGGTCATGCCGGATCCTGAAGCTGATTTTCGTTTGTTCGACCGAGTGGCTTATGTTGTTGAAGGTGGAACGGTACCATGTGGTAAACAATTTTTTGTGAAACTTTTTGACTCAATAATATAGGATCACATGGCACTATTATTGGGCTGATCAATAACAAGCTAGAAGTTCTCTTTGACAGGCCTTTCAAAGATGGTTACAAAATTCGGTGAGCAATTTTTGGTTGCTTATCTTGTAATATTTGAAACTATAGAAGTTCACTCACACAATGTTACTGTGTTGCAAAGACACAAATCATCAACATAACGTTTGGTAAAGAGCGTAAGGGAAAAGAGGAGCAAAAGAGCATAAAAAAGGTTTACCCTACTTTTTCAATACAAATCAAGATTTATTTTTAGAAGCCAGCACAGACCCAAAAGTTTATTGAAACAACATCGGGTTCATACACAAAATGGAGTCCTAGAATGAAACCACAGGCACAGGTAAGAAATTCAAGCGTTTCGTATTTTTATGCAAAATTCAGACGTCTACGGCTAAGGTGACTGACTTTGTTCCAAGGATTTTGAAAGATAAACCAGCAAAATCACAGCAAAATATGGTCAGTTAGGTTAGCGAAGCCATTTATTAAATTTATAGAAACCCGTGGAAAAGAAAGTCACGGAGACAAAGCCAACAGCAAAATCGCTATCTACAGAGAAGGTTGAAACGGTCTCGACTGATGCAAAAGTGGGTGCCTGTTATTTAAGAAAGAAAGTTCATTTTCTCTCTTTAGAAAGTCGAGCTTGAATTGTCACAAATGTTGGGCATTGGATTCAATAAAACCAAATCAAGTTCACCAACATTACATGAGCATGACAAAAGTGGCAGCAGTTCTGTAATTTCATTCCTCCAAAAAGGCGCATGGTCAACGTCGAATAAAGTTATGGAAACGCTTGAGACCTTAAAAATGAATTTTAGACATCAGTGAATGCAACTGAAGTCGAACCAAGTAGTAGTGCTGAAAAAAGTAAGACGAAGGAAAATGATGAAAACCAGGAAAAGGATGAAGGTGACTGGGAGGAAGTTGGAGAACCTGTAAGTGTCGAACAAAAGATTGTGTTTAATTCAAGGTTTGTTTATTTAATAATAATTCTTGGATTTGTATATCTAGCCAGCGGGGAAGTTTGAATTCGCAACCACCTAGAGGCTTCAGGCAGGTCAACTATGGAAGAGGAGACAATTTCAACAATTACAGGTACACTTGTGCTGCGTTAAAACAAATGCATAATTTTTAGTGGAAGATCTCCCCGAGGTTTCATGCAAAATTCAACGTTCCGGCAACCACAAAATTTTGTTAACGTTAGTGATCTTGTGTTAATCCTATTTTAATAACAATTTTTAGCGTGGGCCTAGCTATTTCTTTGGAAACAGCTCAACGAATCCAAGAGGAATGCAGAGAGGAAGAGTCGGGAATGGTTATCGTAATCAGAATCACGAGCAATTGTTGAACAATTCAGATCTTGTACCCAGTGCGGTTAGTTTTATTTTTATATCTAACCAAATTTAATAAATTTCTTTTAGGTTTCTCGGCCTCGTTTTAGTCGTGGGCGAGGTGGTTTAACTCCAAAAGTTGATCACTCTGAAGTAGAAGCGCAACCAACATCACCACCAACTACAAATGTATCTATTAGATTTAATATATTTTTGAGTATTTGACGAAATTTAGCCAACAAAAAGCGAGCAAGGAGCTCCACCATCTGATGCTGCACCAACAGAAAATTATTCTAAATTGCTTGGCACAAACAAACCAAGAAAATCAAGACTTGCCGCAAACTTCAGTTCGACTTGAGCTTATTCATTGATGTTTGTTTTGTGATATTTTCATTAAGTATTTTTGGGTAGAATTTTTAAAATATCCTTATGGTGAAATGATTAAGTAGCTGTTATGATTTTTCCAGTGATTAATTATTTACTCATTAGCGTCTTTTATGTTTTTCCCTCACATATTATTCTAGGCGTATCAAAAGGATAAGGACGTCCGTTATATTTTCTAACAAAATGTTTCTATCGACTGTGTTTTGACCTGTATTTCGACAACTTTTATCTGTAATTCTGTTCTAATATCTGTTAAAAATAAAATATGTTGTTATTATTAGTTCTGTAAATCAAGAACGTTTAATATCAATTGCAAAAAAATATTTTGAAGTAAGAAGGGCGAAATTGATGGATGATTGGTTTGGGTGGTCACAGTTTCTTTTTGCGCTTGTTCATCGCGTTCAGTCTCGCTATTTGGATATCTAATTTAAACGGGGTTTCGGTTCCTCGGTTCTCTCTAATGTCGAATAGTTCTCCTCTCGGGGTTTTTGTATCATTGTCTTTGTTGGTATGGCCAAAACAGAAAAGAAAAGAGTTCGCTACAGACGATCAATCGATATAAGCAGCCAGGATGGGGGGAAGGCCGACTCACCCCTCCCTTCTCTCATTCCTTCCCTTCCCATCATTCCTCTCTTCTTTCCCATTCTTTTATTTGCTAATAGGTCATTCAAAGTGGTACATCCGTTTCCTGAATAACTTTTTATTTCAATAAACAAACACCTGATGTACTTTTAAAGTTCTTTGAAAATTTTCTTATTTTTACCCCTTTTCTGAGCTTGAATCACTTACGAGACAATTCAGGATGTCTCAAACTGATGAGTCGGATATCAAACTGAAAACACGTTTTGGGGGGCAGGTAAAGGATTTCTTTTAATTAGGTACCTAGCTCTTGAAAATAGTTTTTCCTGTTTGCTTATTTGAAACGTACGTTTAGGTGCTCGTTTTGTATCAAAAGCTTCCACTTCGCCTCGAGACATTCCTCGGCTCACTGAGAGAAGCCTGCAAACAACAACAAAATCAGCCGATCACTGTGAAATGGATTGACGATGAAGGTGACGATGAATAAAAAATAGTTTGATAAATTATGTTCAGGTTTTGACCATAGTAAGCTTCCTTTTTAGGAGATCCTTGTACAATTTCGTCACAACGAGAGCTTGATGAGGCCGTTCGATTGATGCGAGAAAATCATGAAGCTGAATTGAATGTTCATGTTTTTCAAGTGAGTTTTGTTAACTAGCTTATTAAAAATATAATTTTCAGGGTCTTCCTGCCCTGCCTGGCCTTCCCGCGCATGGAGAAGATAGTTGGTTTTATCTAAACAATGTCGAATTTTTCCAAATCTTAAAAATCATGTTTGTTTTATATTTAATGTTTATTTTAGAAAATGTCTATCGACGAGGTGCGAGACGCTGGAAGAAATTTTATCATGTCAATGGGCATCGTTTCCAAGCCAAACGTCTTAATAGGTACTTTTTCAACCATTGTTTAGTGAGTGTTGCTTTTGTTCATTGGTTTTACTTTTTGCGGAAAGCGGTTGTTTTAGCGCCGAAAATCAACAATTAGCGCTTTAGCTGCGATTTTATTAGAATGAAAAAGCTTTCAATTTCGACCTTTCATTCATTTTTGCATTGATCACTATTCGTGAAAAGCAAAGCAAGTGTTTTAAGATTTTTCAGTTTTTATTTTTTGCCGGAAAAAGTACTTATTTCTTCCTATCAATTTCCTGATATAAAATCAAACTGGGGGCAACAGGGATCTTTGAAATCTGTTCACGATCTTTGAAACCTATGGTAAATCTCAAGCGATTTCGATGTACAAAGTAGACGATCTCTAAAAAATATAGCGTCACTTTTGTTAACTTTGTAAATTTAGGCGTATCCAATGCATGATTTGTCACGACTACATGTGGGGAATCGGTCGACAAGGATTTCGATGTGCTGATTGCAAATTGTGTGTACATAAGAAATGTCATCGTTCTGTGCGCACACCTTGTGGAGATGTAAAGTTAAAAGCTTGTTAAAAAGTAGCATTTGCCATTTTAGAATGTGACACCAATTTTCGGAACGGGAGAACCTGCGCCACGGCCACTTCAGCCACTCAATGGTCATCAATCTCAAGAGGTAGCTTGGTATACCTAGTTTAGTCAACAATAGCCTGACCGGTTTAAAATATAGCATTTCTCTTAGATGAAAGGAATCGAAAATGGCGCTTTCAAAGAAAGCGAAATTGAGGCTGATGAGAATGGAATTTCGGTAAAAGAAATAGCTTTTAGCCATAAACAGATTGTTTAAAGCCATACCCAACGAGAACACAATCCGATAGTCGGTGGCAGGTCTCACTAAACGACTTCAATTTGTTGACCGTTATTGGAAGAGGATCGTATGCTAAAGTAATTCTCAAAAAAATAGTACCAATGATATTAACTCTTTTAGGTCGTGCAAGCTGAGCATAAAAAGACGAAACAAATTTATGCGATCAAAATCATCAAGAAACAAATGTTCAATGAAGATGAGGTAATTTTAAGAGCAATATTGCTTTGAATCGCAAAGATTGAACTTCGGTATGCCCATGTTTTAGGACATTGACTGGGTGCAAACGGAAAAGAGTGTTTTTGAGGCAGCTTCCAACCATCCTTTCCTTGTCGGCCTCCACTCATGTTTCCAGGTTTATACTTTTTTATTTTAAGTTGTGTTCTTATTGATAGAAGTTAGGAATAAAATGATTTAGACTGATTCCCGTTTGTTCTTTGTGATCGAGTTTGTTCCTGGCGGAGATTTGATGTATCATATGCAACGACAACGCAAATTGGCTGAAGATCATGCACGGTAAATATGAATGTGACTTATTTACACTACTTGAATGTTTTTCAGATTTTATTCAGCCGAAATCATCCTCGCTTTGCATTTCCTACACTCAAGGGGCATAATTTATCGGTTTGCCTTGGCGTTTTAAAAATCATGAACTTGATGATTTAGTGATCTGAAACTCGACAACGTGCTCATCGATACGGATGGACATATTAAACTAACGGATTATGGAATGTGCAAAGTAATTTTAAATTTGCTTAACTTATTGATAGTTTTTTTAGGAAAACATCGGTCCTGGTGATGTGACGTCTACATTCTGCGGTACTCCAAACTACATTGCTCCCGAAATTCTGAGAGGAGACGATTATGGTTTCAGGTATGGTTACGGTTTTGAGAAGTTTGGCAATTTTGTAAGTTTAGCGTTGATTGGTGGGCGTTAGGTGTGTTGATGTTCGAGATGATGGCCGGACGATCACCCTTCGATTTTGTTTCACCGACTGGAGATCAAGACATGAACACCGAGGATGCCCTTTTCCAGGTTTGTTTGTTTTACTGTTTTTACCTTTTAGCATTTTGGTATAATAATCAAAGATCTGCTTTAGACGATTCTCGAGAAGCAGATTCGAATTCCACGCAATTTGTCGGTGAAAGCTTCCCAAGTTTTGAAAGGATTCCTCAACAAGGTGACATTTAATTTCTTGTCTTTTATCTTGCATTTGTAGGAGCCAACAGAACGGCTTGGTTGTTGTCGAGATTTAAGCCAGGCTCTTCAAGACATGCAAGAACATACATTCTTCAAAACATTTATCGATTGGGAAATGGTAAGTTCTAAACTTTACTTTTTCCAAAATTTGTGTTTTAGCTCGAACAACGTCAAGTACCTCCACCCTATAACCCAAATGTCACCGGCATGCGAGATCTTCAGCATTTCGATCAACAATTCACCGAGGTAGCATTTTTGCTTTTGTTTCTATCCAGAACCTTTACTTCTCTGCCCAATTTTTGATTAAATATTTCTCTTTAGGAAAATCCAAACTTAACTGTCGATGATCCATCGGTTATTGCCCGAATCGACCAGAGTGAATTTGACGGCTTCGATTATGTGAATCCACTTAAAATGAGCACTGAAGACGAGGTTTAATTTTTCAATCGATAATCGCTTTGAGAACAAGATTAATTTATTCACGTTTATCTCATTTTTATTCTACCCTTCCACTTTTTTACTCTCACATTGTGCCACTTTTTATCAACCACAAATATCTGTTCCTTTTACGCGTTGTGTCTTTTTGAGACTGTGATTTCCTTTCTTACAAGTCTTGCATATTTATTTTATTCCCCGAAATTCCATGTGCTATGCATATGCTCGCATTGTGTCGTGTTTGTCGATTTAGGCGTACTTCACTTTGACACAAATTTATTCTTTTGACAGGTTGCATACTTAATTCATTTCTGTTGTTTTAATCGCTCCGATTTACTGCAATATTTTTTAGTAGTAGCCTTCTAAAGAAATAAAATTTACCGAGTTTAACCGGAGATGCAAAAAATGGAATGGTTGAGCGTGGAATGTCAGAATGAGAGATTAAACTTTAAAAAAAACAAAGCAATAAATTATCGAGGCTACATTTCTAGCAAAGAAACTATCTAAGATGCGGTGGACCGACGCAGAGACACGTTTTGCGACAAAATAGGAACCTCGTGGGACGGTGTCGCTCACACAGACCACCATCTGCCCAATCTCTAGAAATTTGGATATGGAATTAGCTATTTTGCATTGATTCATTTATTCATCACCCACCGACAGAGTGGCCCCTTTTCGTCCTCTTCAGTGGCACAATCGAAGACGAAAGGACGCCCTGAAATGATTTGGCTTAGGTAATTGAAGGTTTAGCATTGTAAACAAGTTACCGTAGTTCCCTAGAAGAGTTTTACCTTTTAGATTTCATTGAAAAAAAAATTGAAGACGTGAGTCTTATATTTTACAGGTTTTACGGTAACTCATTTGCATGAATGCTTTATAGCTCTTGGAAAATAGATCTCTAAAGCGATCCCATAACAAATTCAGAGTCTAATATTTCAATTTGATTATTAAATTTGTTGATTCCGATTTCTAAGCGAAATTCGATTTCATCAGCTTTTCTGAAAAAAATCCCAATCAGAAATCGAACGTTTCCAAAATTAATATAGCCAGGTTTATCTGCAAATTTCAGTCAATAACTTACAAGTTTTCTTCAACGATTTCTCGGCAATGATCTTCGCCGTCGGCATCAGCTCCTCTGAATTACGAAAATGATTACAAAATTGAATGATTAGATTTTAGTTTAATAAGTATTGCACGTGGGTTTTAGTTATCGGTGTTATCGGTGATTTTAGTTATCGGTTTTAGTTATCTGTTTTAGTTATCGCTTTTAATTATCGGTTTTAGTTATCGGTACTTTTAGTTATCGGTTTTAGTTATCGGTTTTAGTTATCGATGCTTTTTTCTCACTACGAGTGCCGCGTGACTCGAAGAGGGGATTTTTGAGGAAACGCTCGGGTCGACTTTTCGCTTTCTCAATTGGCGGGATTCCCGGATAGCCGACAGCATGCGATGGATCTAAAATTATGTAAAAAAACTGTGCTTTTTTCAATGAAAACCGATGGGTTTTGTGTCCGGTTGAAGGGGTCCTGTCGGGCCTGAAAATGTGATGCTTGGGGAAAGTTTTGGGGAGTGCTTGGGGGAGTGCTCGGGTTTACGCAGAGATTACGTGACTATAGGTACAGTAGGCTCAGCTTCATTGAGCTTGTCTTACTCTACATAAAATCGATTGTGTCGTAAATATGTTGAAGTTACGATAAAGTCTGGACATCATATGGATCTTTAAAAAGTTCAATTCTGCAGTGTAGCTTTTTTTTGGTTTTTCCACACACCTTTCCCCTCCTCGTAGCCAGATGGATGAATTTTTGGCTCTAAAAGTGTTAGGATTATTAGGATTCTTATTAGTTAAGATTTTTATGGTTCTTTGTTGTTTTTTGGTTTGGATTATTATTAGGATTATGTTAGATCTTTATTAGTTAGGATTCTTTATTAGTTAGGATTATTATTAGTTAGGATTCTTTTTAGTTAAGATTCTTATTAGTTAGGATTATTATTAGTTAGGATTCTTATTAGTTAGGATTATTATTAGTTAGGATTATTATTAATTAGGATTATTATTAATTAGGATTCTTATTAGTTAGGATTATTATTAGTTAGGATTCTTTATTAGTTAGGACTCTTATTAGTTAGGATTCTTAAAAGTTAGGATTCTTAAATTAGTTAAGATTCTTATTAGTTAGGATTCTTATTAGTATTAATTACAGTGCTATTATATTTGTTCATTAGTATTCTATCTTTTATCTTTTATCAATTTTTACCCAATCCTGGTGGCTCGACGGGTTTTCTAAAAGAAACTTTGAAAAAAAGATTTGAAAAAACGGCAAACTTTGTCGTAGCTTGGTTTGTTGGTGGTGGTGCTGAAATTAAATGTAATTTAAGCTTAGAAAATTATTTGTACTCGGATACGCGTCTTTTGGCTTCACTGTTGTTGCTGTTGGTTCTTCAGTGCTCAATTCTTTCGGCTGCTCACCGGAAATCTCGTTAGCCAACACGCTTCCATTCTGGAAATTTGAAATAGTTAACCATAGACTGAAGCTACAATGTACCGAAGAGCCTTAATAGTTGAGAATTTTAATGAAATAGACAATACCACGGTACTGTAGTACTGTAGGGTAGGTGCTTTATAAGTTCTGTAGGTAAGGTGCTTTAGAAGTTCTATAGGTAAGGTGCTTTATAAGTACTGTAGGTAAGGTGCTTTAGAAGTTCTGTAGGTGCAAGTTTTAAAACTTTGAAACCTGTTCAAAAGTTGTGGTCGTTGTTTTAAGCTGATCGCTTGAGTTTTCGGGTTCTAGGAGTGGCTGAAAAGTTTATCGTTTTTCTTATTTTAGCTAATGTTTTTTGTTTTTCAATTGTCCATTTTTCCATTCCCAATTGTCCAAATGTTTTTTTTTGTTTTCCAAACAGAAACCTCCAATTTGCTTGTCTCGTGCGAATCATCATCATTTTTGAGTAAGGTTTCTAAATTTTCAACTAATTTTGTTTGTGTAACCTCTTTTTTTTTTACTAGTTGTCGTCGTTGAAATTAGCTCTTCTGTGAATGCGATTGGCTTTTCGGAAGCTAAACAAAACTTACAATTAGCTATTTTATGAAAGAGTTGTTTAAAACCGTTTTAACCGTAAAAACCGTAACCGTAAAAACCGTTATAACCGTAAAAACGTTAAGGGTTTAACCAATCAACCAAATTTGAGAGATAAAATTTTGCATTTATGATATGAATCTCAATCAAAATCCAAATTTGGTGAGGATGGGGAATCAAAAAAAAATGATTGCCGACTCATCGCCTTTTAAAAGCTCACTTGTTTCTTGTGTGGTTGAATCGATGGTTGGGGCATTGGTTGCTTTGATGGTTTCAGCTTTGATGGTTGGGGCATTGGTTGTGTCAAATGCCGTAGTTGTGACTGTAGATGGTGTTGACTCTTTGCTCTCCGCTGGTAGAACGATTGCCGCATCTGAAGCTTGTTTTCAAGATTCGAGAATGAACTTTAGAGCTTACACGGATCTCCAGCAGCAGCTGTGCTTTGTGTTGTTTCACTTTTCGCCGGTTCCTCTTTTATTTTCTCTGTCACTTGCTCAGTCATATGTTTCTCGGCATCTTTATTCAATTCGGCCACTTCGATCTCTTCCGAATCGGTCGGTTCTTTGTCTTCTGTAAAATTGAATAGGTTGAAAAGGTGAAGAAGTTGTAGAAAATGTTCAGCTAGGGAATTAAAGACAAATTCTCACACTGTATTGTACTGTACTGTGTACAGTACAGTACAATACTGTTTTCTATTTAATAGCTCTGTACTGTAAACTCACTACAGTATGCCGATGTGTTTTTAAAGCTATTCAATGTCCGATACAAACGAGTTTAGAGAGAAGACAAACTTTGTGAGAACTTTAAGTGAACACAAGTTAGCGTTAGTAAGCGTTAGGATCGTTAATCGAAGGCTACAAGATGTAAAAGTGTAAGATCAAGCTTCTTGCTTGATATCCTCCAATCCCAATACTCACTATGATCGATTGGTGTGCTTGCTTGAGGGATTTCCGTGGCAACAGTTGTAGTTGAGTATTTTCCATGATCTCCCGATTTCTCCGATGCATATCCACCACGCTCCGGCTTATCTGTTTCTTTGATCGTTTCTTTTGAGGCTAAAAGTTAAAAAACAAACATATTGCAACACTGACAAACTTCAAGTGAATACAAAGAATTACTGTAAATACTGTAATAGTGCCCCACCCCTCTCGTACAGTCGCGTAGTCGCAAAAGTTTTTTAGTATTTAATTTCATTGCTTTTTTTTAAAGCGCCCGTACTTTCAAAAAATGCGTCTTTGGTATCAAAAAATAGCCCTGAATTTCAGGGCTATTTTTTAATACCTAAGCGCGCATCGTAGCATAAACCAGTGTCGAGAAAAACTCGTTCAAAGCTAGACTACGCAACACTCCGCACCGTCATTATGGGGGTGGGGTACTATTACAGTATTTACGGTCTGTGAAAATGTGGATAAGATGAGCCTAGTTAGATAATAAAATTGAGATGATTTCAGTGAAGATCTTTTGTACAGAAAGTCAAAGGTATAAACAATTTTTGTATGGCTTTGAACACATATCCGTGCAACACAAATATTGAACCGTTAACTTGAGTTAATAGTCTAGACTTCAAGAGACGTGGATTCTTGGTTCAACGGCACTCAAACCACCAGTCACTTATAGATCTTATAGTCACTGATACTGTTAACGATGACTTGGTGCTGGCGATGACTATTCGAGATCTAGCAATCTTGGCAGCGCTTAGCACTGGTACAAGTTAAGTTCCGATATCTATAACTCACTCGTTTCTCCATTTCTTTCACCATTTCCTTGTTCATATCCAGAAAGCGGGCTCTCCCCTTCTGCTGATTCTTCTGGTTCTAAAATGGATTCTTTTAAAATATCATTGTCAACTCAAACGTGTTGATGAAGATGCTTCTTCTCTCGCCAAAGCATCATCTTTTTCTGAAGATCTTTGTTTTTTTTTGTTCCCCGGGGGGAGTAATTTTTTTTTGGATTTTCTTTTTTTTTCTTTTTTTTTTTCCCTTTTTTTTCCTCTTTTTTTCCTTTTTATTTCTTCTTTTTTCTTTTTTTTTTCTTCCTTTTTTTTTCCTTTTTTTTTCCGTTTTTTTTTCGTTTTTTCTTCGTTTTTTGCTCCTCTTTAGTTCCTTGTTTATAACTTTTAGAGTTTGTTCCTCGCGAGTAAGTAATCGAGTAAACTCGAGTAAAATTTGAATGAGTAATTTCGATTAAATTTCTGGTCGAGTAACTACGAGCAATCCTCTTTACACATTTGAGTAAATTGAATATCTTTACGTTTGAAGGGAATTTGCGACCAAATCAGTTAAACGGCTGAATATCTTTAAAAAGACTCGTATATAACTCGACAGTCATGATTTTTTGCTCCATTTTTTTGCAATAATTTTTCGCTAAAAGTACGCACGGTAATTTTCCCAAGTTTGCGTTTTAAAAAACGCATTACCCACGAGGAACACACTCTAATCGGGGGTGGGACAAATGCGACCTTTTTTTTTGCTGGAAAAGGCCTTAGGCAAGGCCGTAGGGCTTCGAAAATATTTCCATATACGCAACTTAACGCTTTTCCGCAGTTTTTGCCTTTTAGCCCAAATTTGACGTGTCAGCGAGGTGTGATTTGTCGAAATTCAGAATCTACGCATACGATTCCCTTCTATGAAAACATTTTTGAAGCTCTACGACCTTTCCTAAGGCCTTTTCCAGCAAAAAAAGGTCGCATTTGTCCCACCCCCCTCTAATCACTTTTATTTGCGATAAACCTGTAATCATTGTGATTGTCGTCTCTTCTCCACTCCCATCGTTCATTTCACCCGATCCTTCTGTGATCTCCATGCCCTTTGTTGTCTGTAAACTCTAGATAATATTTCATATAAATTTGATTTGACCTCAGTTTGTGCTTGAGTGCTCGTGCCAACGGTGATGATTGCCGCGAATTGATCTCCCTTTTTCTCAACGGGGCCTGTCTCGATGATTGGTGATTGCCCGGATCCCTCAACTGAAGATCTTTCATGAATTATCTTTTATGAATATCTTCAAGTTTAAATGCTAAATTGCTAATCTATCCAAATTTCTTGTAAATACGTGCCGGTGGATTCAGCCTCGATTTGGGGTGTCGTCAAATCGGTGACATTCAAATCGACCTCCATTCCGGAGCCTAAATTGAGAAATTTCTATGAAAAACTTTTTCTTTAAATTATTTAGATATTAGAAAAGTAGATTTTATAGTTACTTGTAGATAAGATTTGAATAATATTTGTTACCGTATTTCTTCGAATAGAAGACCGGGTAAAGAGTATCATCGCGTACTCCTGCGTAGCAGCCCTTTTTAAAATTTCTTTTCTGCATAAAAGCTTTCAATCAAGTGCTATAGAGCTGGAAAAGGGCTCAAAAATCGGGGGATAGTCAAAACAGCGCCATAATAGAAAACGTTCAAAACAGCGCCGTCAAATTTCTGTCTGTTAGCTCATGAATCTGTTAGCTCATGTGGTATTTTTGAGTCATTTTCCAGCCCTATAGCACTTCATTGAAAGCTTTTATGCAGAAAAGAAATTTTAAAAAGGGCTGCTACGCAGGAGTACGCGATCATACTCTTTACCCGGTCTTCTATTCGAAGAAATACGGTATTTCCTGCACAAACCATCAACTTTTGTCTCTCCATCGATTGTCGTCGTTTCTCCCGATCCGTCGAAATCCTAAAAGAATGAATCTAAGTCTAAAATCTGTAGTTTATTTTAGATTTTAGATTTTTGAAATTACGAACTGGAGTTTAAACTTTTAACACATTCACGACGATATTTTACATTGGATCGTTGATTTCTCGTGAATGTGTGAACAAAAAAAGATGCCTAAAATTCCTCTGGATATGTAACTTTTTATCCCCAATCAGAATATGTTTTTTGTTTTCAAAATGAGAGGTAGCAAAAAGGTTAATGAAAGAAATTTGAAATCAGCACCCTTGAAATCCGTGGGTGCAAATTTTTGGTCTTTTTGCTGACGCAAATGTGTTCGCCGTGAATGTGTTAAGCAAGCTATAGCCATGCTACCAAGCAAGCTATAGCCATGTTATCAAGCAAGCTATATCCATGCTATCAAGCAAGCTATAGCCATGTTATCAAGCAAAAAGCAACTAAAAGCTATTTAGCCATTAAAATAAGTTAAAAAAACTTTTCAAAATGTAAATCCTTTCCTCGGGTTCGACAAAAGTGTGGCTAGGGAAAGCGGCGAGTTCGGCTTTCGATGGAGGAGCTGGCGGAGAAATGATGTGAAGAGATGACGGGAAGGGCTAGGGAAATGAACAAAACAAAAAAAAAGGAACAAAAAAAAGGGTATGAAAAGATTTCATTAATCAATCTAAAGTTTAGTTTAGGTATTCATCGATCAATAATCAAGTCTAGTATGCTTAAAGCTATGGAAACTATTTGGCTAAGTCTAGTATGCAAAGCTCTAGCCAAATAGTTTCCACCAAAATTCGACTGACACTCAATTAAGTTCATAATTACTTTATGAACTTTGCAGTTCTTTGAGAAAAGAACTCTAAAGTCTTTGTTTATTTTAATGTCAAAAACAAAAGTATTCAGTTGAAGTAAATGATCAATTGAGGGGATAGGCTAATGTTCCGCCATCTTTCAAGTTTGAGTTGAAGAATTTGAGACATTGCCTTATGTCAGCTGAAATTCTTTTACTCAGGCATACAGCAGTAAAACGCAATTGAGGGGATAGGCTAATGTTCCGCCATTTTATTTGCGCAACTAGATCTTTTGCGCAACTCGCCATAACTTTCTTCTAAGTGGCTTTCTAAGACTGCTTTGTGTTTCTTTCTTGAGGTATCTTTTTATCTTTTCGGTATGTTTTGAGTGGTGTCCTGGGTGATTATTGTGATCTTGTTTTGTCGCTATTCAACTGAATAAAGCATATATATATACACTACTGGACAATGAAATATCATATTTGAAAAAAGATCGTCACTTTCGCGCGTCTGTAACTCCCTTGTCTTTGCCGTATTTCTAAATATTAATATTACCATTGTGTAGCCCTTGAAAAGAGCTTTCAGAAAATGTATAACACTAATAGTTTAAACTCAAAGACAAGAGAGTTACAGACGCGCGAAAGTGACGATCTTTTTTCAAATATCATATTTCATTGTCCAGTACTGTAGCATTGAAACTGGGTTTCTAAGTAAGCCAATCTTTATGAATTTCATGTCATTTTGTTACACTTATTGAGATCTACAAAATGAAACCAAAATCATAAAGATTGACCAGACTTAGAAGAAAGTTATGGCGAGTTGCGCAAAGACCAAGTTGCGCAAGATCGCAAACGATCAAGTTGCTGTTGCGCAAAAAAACTGGCGCAAATTGGCCTACCCCCCCAATTTAGCTTTAGTTAAGCAGAGCAAAACTCTCAAATGAAATCAGTGGTAAAGCGGCTGCACGCAAAGCAAAATCAAAGCAAAAACTCGAGGCTCCGATTCTCCCCGTGGCCCTTTTTTTCTTTGCCATTTCCTTCTTTCACTTCAAAAAAAAAACTAAACATAAATTTTTCTTAAATTTTATAAAATTAATGAACTAAATCGTCCGGAAATTCTCGAAAAACTTACATTTCCCATCGTCTCTTTGTCTTTTTCTTTTCCCTCTCTTTCCGGGGGAGCACTCGGGCGTTGACTGGCCTCTGAAAATCCCTTTTCGCGTCCACCCCGTCACGAGGTCTTGTAGTGTAGTGGTTATCACGTGTCCTTCACACGGACAAGGTCGCCGGTTCGATCCCGGCCAAGACCTACTCGTTTTTGCTTTTTTCAAACCTGAGATCGTTTTGTTAGCTCCATCGGTTGCACACGGTTTTCCATGCAATCCAAGGTCTAGATTTTGATTTTAAGCTTTAAAGCCATTCTTCTACCAGATAGATCTTCTTGTGCTCGATCGGGATTTGCTTCACCGAAGATTTTTTCGACTTTGGTTGGAGCTAAAATTCAATTTAATAGGATAAGGCTAAGAATAAAGTAAACAATCAAAATTTCGTAAATTAGATTACCGGGATTTTTGTCAGCTTCAGCTTCAGCTCCCGCCACTCCCACTTGATCATCTTCTTGTGGTGGGATTGGGATCGCCCCGGGCACTGTAAAGTCATCGTAAAAGTGATAAGGATCTCTTACTCACCCGGTACAAGATCATATTGTGGTCGAGCATTGGAGAATCTCAGAAAAATGAGAAACACATACAAGAGTAACCTTATGATCATCTAGCTGAGTCTTGCTGAAATAAGTTCCATAGTAAACTTGTTGAATGTTGCAAAGAAAATGAGAAGGAATCGAGCCGTGTGGGAATCCAATTAAGAATCTAACCTTGTATTTTGTGCTTAAAAATTGGAAACACACCCTTTCTGGTGCAGTGAAGGACTTCAATTTTGCACCAGAAAACAGTTTTGAATTTTTCAAGCACAAAGTTTACACCCCAAAGAAATCTATAGCCTAAAGTCTAAGTGGAAAAGAGAAGTGAAAGTGTAAACGTTCGGGGAAACGCCAAGAAAATAAAAATTGTGACCATTTTCTAAAACGTGTTAACTAACTGTTAGCTGTTTTAACTGTTAACTAACTTTTCAAGCACAAAGTTTACACCTCAAAGAAATCTATAGCCTAAAGTCTAAGTGGAAAAGAGAAGTGAAAGTGTAAACGGTTCGGGGAAATGCCAAGAAAATATTGTGAAAGTGAAAATTAGCATTTAGGGTAAAAAAAATAGACTCCAAAGATTTGCATCTTTACCCTGAGATTGAATCTAGGCGAAGAAGAAGAAGAAGAAGAAGAAGAAGAAGAGGAAGAAGAGAAGAAGAGAAGAAGAAGAGAAGAGGAAGAAGAGAAGATGAAGAAGAAGAAGAAGAAGAAAAATTGAGTTTTTCTTTCATTGAAAAGTGAAAGCGAGAGATTTCATCTCACTAAATCATCTATATGCTAATTTTTAAGCTATACATGTAGTCTAGGTGGAATAATGATCCTAATGAATAGCTATGTAGTATTCATTAGGATTTAAACGACCGTAAACGTCAACCATTTGGCATACCATTTGGCATGTGTAGTTTTGAAGATAATAGGTTTTTTTTTTTAAAAAATGCAACCCATTTGGCATATGAAAATTGCTTGGAAAGAATCATTTCTTAAAACATTTTGACAATGACAATTAAAGCAATAAGCAAAACTGGAATTGAAATAAAATTTGAATCATTTCACTTTTGCAAGTGCATCGATTTGAATGATTTTTAAAGACTTTCACCCTTGGCATTTATGAGAAAGAGACAGAGAAAATCCTTTGGGTACTTGACAAGAAATTGTGAAAAGGGGAAACATGGAAACATCCTTATATCAAGACAAATGCAAAGCTAGGAAGCTAGGAAGTGGATTTGAAAACGAAAGCCATACACTCAATGAGTCAGATCACGAAACTACAGAACTTACAGAATTTCATGAACTGTTTGTTTAGCGAATTTGAATAGAACATTGACATTGACTTAAGTGAAACGGTACCACAGAGCGAAACGGTACCACAGAGCTAAAGATAGCCAAATGCTTTGTTTTCTAATCTTTTACTTTTCGAACTTTCAAAAGAAGCTTCAAATCTTCAGCTAGAATCACATCAAAAGCCTAATAAACAAATAGTTAATAAGTGAAGGAATTCGCAAGAAAACGTCGATTTCCGGAGATGGGATTCTCAACCAAATCCCAACCAATTCTCAACCAACTCTCAACCAATCCTCAACCTCAATTCTCAACCAATTCTCTCAACTCAACAAACTCAATTCTCAACCATACACCAACCTTTTGCTTTCCAGTAAATTCCCCTAACCACTAAGCTATCGGTTACCTTAACTTCCCAAGAGAAAGAGGGAAATACAAGGGGGAAGAAGAAAGGAAGTACTATTATAACAGGGCTACAAGGTGTCGACCCATAAAACCAGAGCACCAATCAGTAAAACGGGTTTTTGCCGGAAGTTTGAAGGCTTAAAGCTTTTCAATTTGTGTCATCAAGTCGTCCTGTCAAAAGCAAACTTAAGATGAGTTAGTCTTGGATGAAGCTATTGTAAATATAAGTATAAACATCGAACAATGTAGTTCCTTTATAAAGAATGAATGAATCAGATAAAAGCGATCAAAAGCGTAACAAGGAATTCCGAGACTGGAGGAAGAGAAGCGATTTTCGGTGAAAGGAGCCAACCTCGATAAGTGGAAGAAGACTGAGAAGATGGGGGGAGGGGAAAGCGGTGAAATTGGCCATCACTTGACAGAATCTCCATCTTTTGGGCGTTCAGGTGGAAAAAGAAAGGGAAACAAGCCGAGATTCCAGCTGATTGCCCCAATCATTCCAAAGCTCTTCACCTTTTTTTACCCTCTCGATGTAACCAGATGCCCTTGGGTGAAATAGGCAACTTTTTCTCTGGGTTTTACTTGGAGAATTCGCAACTCTGAATCTGGTACTGGGTTTTGCGTTTTCTAAAACGTGTTAACTAACTGTTAGCTTTAACTGTTGGCTTTAACTGTTAACTTAACTGTTAACTTTAACTGTTAACTGACTGTTAACTGACTGTTAACTGACTGTTAGCCTTAACTGTTAGCCTTAACTGTTAGCCTTAACTGTTAGCCTTAACTGTTAGCTTTAACTGTTAGCTTTAACTGTTAACTTAAAAACTGTCATTATCTTGACTCTAGTTGTTTAGCTAATTGATCTAATTGCTCTGTTTAGTTAATTGATCTGTTTAGCTAATTGATCTACTTAATTGGAACTCGAAAACTTATTAATCTAATTGTTGAAGTTATTAAAAGATCGGATTTGATAGATTTTGAATCTAGCTGGCTAGTTGTGCTACCAACGACTAAAAAACATTGAAACAATTGTAAAAAGCTCAAAAACAAATTCTAGAGTGACCTATAGACGATTCAGAGAAACTTCTCTTCTCAATAACTTCTCGTTTTCATTCATTTCCCTATTTCTGAATGTCTATTGAGATTCCTTGTTGAAGTATCAGAGAATTTCTCTCTTTACTTTCTTACTTTACTCTTAATTTCTCTTCTCGATCTTCTCTTCCTTTTCTCAACTAATTACCGTCCACTCTTTAAGTGTTATTTATTATGTGACTTGTAAAAGTCAAACATTAAACCCAGTTTGAAAATCAATCGTTTGAAAGGCAAAGTTTTGAAAAGCAATCGCTTTTCAGAACTTTGCCTGAGCCTGAGCAATCGCTTTTCAAAACAGACAAAACAAAAAAATAAAAAGTTTAAAAGCTCTTTCGTGCAGTAGATATAAATGAGCATTTCTTTATTTACATAAAAATTAAATCTGTGATTGTTTCAGCTCTCTCTTCAATCGCTCAATTCGCAGATCATCAAGCAATGCCGTCCTTGTGGTCATTTCCTGAACATCTCCATTTCTCCATGTCACTCCGTGTTTCCCCAATCCATTCCCAATTCCATACAAATATTGCTCGCGGAACATTTCCTCGACAGCTGATGAGCATTCGATCTGCGATTAAGCTATTGAGCTTGGACATATCTATGCTTATCTAGCTTGGACATATCTATGCTTACGCTTACTCCGAAATACTGTAGATACTGATTTCTAGTATTTTCAATGATTACCAAATTGCAGTAAGCTTTTCGCCTACCTCCAATTCATCATATGAATACGGTTCTCTCAATAACCCATTTAAAGCGTCGTTTCTCGATCCCGACCAATTCCCACTGTCACGCCGATCTTCCATTCTGAAAACAATTAGTTAAATATTTTTTTTTTAATATCAAGAAAAGCAGATGATAAGTATTTTGTTTAGCTAAGCGTTGTGGAAGCTTGAGATTTCTTTAAAAATCACTTCTTAGCATTTTAGCAGGATTTAAAAGTGCTAAAAGATGATCCAATGGTTTAGAGATATTCAGTGCAAAGCTGTAAAGTGTAAAGCTTTAGAGATATTCAGTGTAAAGCTTTCTTTTCTTTTTCAGCTTTCTTTCACCTTCAAATGGTCGACTTTCATCGAAATCTATTCTAGAAAAAAAATGATTGAAATTTGATTTAAAAGAAAACGTTGAAACAAACATTTTCGTCGATCCATCGATATAACTATCGCCAGGCGCATGTTCACGATCGTAAACTAAAAAAAGAGTTTCAATTCATATATTGTCTTTCATTTTTCTTCTGATCTTTAAGCAATCAACACTCAAATATTCAGCTGATAAGACTAGAGTGTGTTCCTCTAGTCCTATCAGTAATGCGTTTTTTAAAAAGCACAATTGGAAAAAATTACCGTACTTTTAGCAAAAAAAATTATTGCAAAAAAATGACGCAAAAATGACGAGCCCCGCATTATATACTCAGCCGATAAAAGATACTCAGCCGTTTAACTGATTTGATGGGAAATTCCCGTCCAATGTAAAAAATAATTTTTTTTTTGAAAAACCGGGAGTGGAACAAATGCTACCTTTTTTTTGCGCACCTTTTTTTCCGCACCTTGCCCATTAGCGCACCTTTTTTCGCGTTTTAAAAAAGCTCTAAAAAGCTAATATTAACCAATTTCTATTCCAAAAGTTGTTTTTCTAGGTAATTTTAGGGCGTAGAATCGAAATTTTGACATAACAGAGCGTGTGGAACCAATTTGAAAGACAAAACGGCTAGGTCAAATTACAGAAAAGTGTCGATTTTTCTCTTTGTATAACTCTGTCCGTTTGTTTCCACACGCTCTGTTATGTCAAAATTTCGATTCTACGCCCTAAAATTACCTAGAAAAACAACTTTTGGAATAGAAATTGGTTAATATTAGCTTTTTAGAGCTTTTTTCAAACGCGAAAAAGGTGCGCTAATGGGCAAGGTGCGGAAAAAAAGGTGGGCAAATGTCCGGGTGCGCAAAAAAAAGGTCGCATTTGTCCCACTCCCAAAATCTGCGCGCAAAAATTGCTTTTATATTTTTTTTCGCGCAGGCGCACTTTTTAGAAAACGCATTACTCGACAATTACTCATGCAAATTTACTCGAGTAATTACTTACTCGTGAGGAACAAACTCTACCCACAAGATCTCAACTATTCAGCTGATAAGACTGATAAGACTGAATAAAGATTTAAAGCAAAGAATTTAATGATTGAATTCTTTTTTCTATTACAAGCTAATCTAGAGTGCAAAGAATGAGAGCAAGAATGTTTCAACCCGGCTCTAAATGTGTCAGTGAATTTGTGTTTTGGAAAATTCCTGCCTCTAATAGTAAGGCAAGAGTTTGTTCACTGACCGGATTGTCCATCAACTAATCGTTTCTTCTTTCTCTTTCTCTTTATCCCGCAATAACCATTCCGTCTTGCCATCACGAAAAGAAGAAAGAAAAGAAAAAGAAAAAGTCCCCCACCGGCAGCCATCCACCAAAGAGTTGGCTCGTGAGAGGATTCTGGAAAATCCTCTGATATTTTTCTTCTTCTATTCTTTTGTTCTAATATTTTTGTGACAAACCGATTCTTCGATAGAATATCGAATCACTCGGCGCACTTTGAGTGTAATTCGGGCGAAGAGCTCGCACTCGTAGCTCGATTTCTGGAGAATTTGTGAGAGACATCGATTTGGATGGAAGGAGAAATGGTGGGGAAATGACTTCAGCCTGAAAATCGATTACTATAGAAAAATAGAAGAAAGAGAAGAATATTCAGCTAATCTGTTGCTTTTAATTTTTAGTTCCTTTATAGTTCCTTTATAGTTCCTTTATAGCTCCTTTATAGTTCCTATTTAGTTCCTTTATAGTTCCTATTTAGTTCCTTTACAGTTCCTTTATAGTTCCTATTTAGTTCCTTTATAGCTCCTTTATAGTTCCTATTTAGTTCCTTTATAGTTCCTTATACTAGCCACTTATTGCTAAACAAACAAAACATGAAATGAGTTCTTTTGGAAAACGGGAGAAATTCGATTTGCCTTAGAATTGACCCTATCTTAATGCCATTTCCTCATAAATAAATTCAAAGATATTTCCCAAGAACAAACCATTTCCACAAAGCCATCCATATCACTTTTCATTCCTCGATACTCAAGACGATACAATTGAGCGCCTTCCGAGCGTTCCCAGCTTACCTAAAAAGATTTTAAGAAAGATATCTTTAGCACCACACTGAGTCGAGTTGATGCCTATTTTACGCTTTCAAAGTTTTTCCAGAAGCTCAACACTCTAATCCCCAACAAGATCTCATTGTCAGCTACATTTTCCGATCCCACATCAATAGATTCTGATAAACGGTTCTCGAGATTTCGAGGAATTTAGGCGACGCTCAGGGCGCACTACTATTAAAGAAAATACGGTAATATTAGATTGGTAACTTGAAAGTTGGTACTGCTAAAGCAATTTTCTTATATTGGTAATAAAATAGACAAACATGCAAAAATTAGATATCTACATAGAAAAAATAAATTTAAATCTAAAGCCATAACTAAACAGTATCTGATATCTAAGCTTATAAAATACGAAGTCTAATTCTTTGAGCTTGGCCAACAAATACTGATACTAACTATCGTATTTTCTCGAATAGTAGTGCACCCGGGCGAGCCGAGTTGATGCCTATTTTACGCTTTCCTATTCTTTCAAAGTTTTTTTCCAGAAGCTCAACACTCTAATCCCCAACAAGATCTCATTGTCAGCTACATTTTCCGATGGTGGGATCGGTTCTAATAGGTTCTAATAAGCGGTTTTTGAGATTTCGAGGAATTTAGCGAAAACTATTACAGATTATTACTATTACAGAAAATACGATAGTCTGCTTTCAGCTGACAATAACGATAACCGACAGAAAACCGGCTAATAGAAAGAAAATGAAAGCGAACTTAACTGAATATCTTTAGCTTTTTATAAATATTTTGAATAGATATTCAACTAACAACAAAGATACCATATTATTGATGACAGCCATCGACAAAGGAGCAACCAATTTCGAGCAAACTAAACGATTCAGTTCAAGAAAAATATTTACAAAATTTAAAAGCCAATTTTTGAATTTCAATTTCATGATTGAAATAAAATTGAATCTTTCTTATCCAGTTACCATTTTTTTCCAAATAACTCGAATTAATCGATCCTTCAGAATTCCGTGCTTCGATCAGTAAACGATAACGAGAAAAACGAGAAAGACCTGGATAAATGATCTATTTTTTTAAAAAATCATTTTCCATCTTTACCAAACAATTCAGCGTGCGTCTCTTTTGTTTGTAAAGTTCCCTTTTCTTCATTCAAGTCGACATTCTCGTAGTGAATCGTGAATGTTTGAGGCAATCCTGCATCGTAGCCTAAAGATTTTTTGATTGGCTAAGAACTTTTAAATATATTAAAATAAAGTTAGTTTTTTTAAAAACATACTAAAATCAGTGAATCTTGTCTTTCAGTTTTACAAATCTCACCGGGATTCCAATCAACGACCAATCCATCCTCTCCCAGACATTGAACCGAAGTAATTGCTGAGGCTTGTGGACGAGTGTTCTGAATGAGCAAAAGCTTTTCAAATCATAAACTTAATCGCGTCTACCGTATTTCTTCGAATAGAAGACCAGGTAAAGAGTATGATCGCGTACTCCTGCGTAGCAGCCCTTTTTAAAATTTCTTTTCTGCATAAAAGCTTTCAATCAAGTGCTATAGAGCTGGAAAAGGGCTCAAAAATCGGGGGATAGTCAAAACAGCGCCATAATAAAAACGTTCAAAACAGCGCCGTCAAATTTCTCAAAATCCAAAAAAGCAAGCCGGTTCATTGTGTGTCGAGTGATACTCAGTTGATTAACTGAATATCTTTAGAGACCCATTTTGAGTGCTCTTTTTATCTATGAAATATTAACTTTTTTTAAAAACTGTTTCACCCATCATGTAGCCAAGAACGCAAGGAATTTTTGATATAAAACTTGAACCGGCTTGCTTTTTTGGATTTTGAGAAATTTGACGGCGCTGTTTTGAACGTTTTCTATTATGGCGCTGTTTTGACTATCCCCCGATTTTTGAGCCCTTTTCCAGCTCTATAGCACTTGATTGAAAGCTTTTATGCAGAAAAGAAATTTTAAAAAGGGCTGCTACGCAGGAGTACGCGATCATACTCTTTACCCGGTCTTCTATTCGAAGAAATACGGTACTTTTATTCAAAACCAAATCAATCTCTAATCAATTTTTCAGAACTTTTTTGTCTAGAGTATATAAAAGAACATTGTCTGTCTGTCTTTTAAAACTTCTATGCCAATTATAAAAGAACAGTGTCCGTCTATCCGTCTTTGCGGACTCTCTCATCCATGTTTTGAACAATAGAGCTAAAACTTCTTTAAAAGCCTTAGAATATAATATAGTTGTGCCATTTCAAATAAAAATGGCCAAAAATAGAAGATTGACTGTTATCGGGATCGAACCCGGACCGTCCAGACCGTAGAAATGGACCTTCCCGACTGCGCCATAGAGACCGGCGAGCCCATCCGGGTTTTTCGGCTAGTTAATCATAAATCTCATCTACCTGTACATAAAGTCTCATCTCGGATTGAACGGTAGCCACAGAATTCGTGATCACGCAAGTGTATAAGCCGTGATCCGAATGGGAAATTGTGGGAAGACTCAACTTTGGAGAAGAGATTCGACGCTGCAAATTCGTCAGAATATGTTTTTGATTGGATAATTGATGATTTTCCGTCAGAATAATTGATAGCTTAATGTTTTTATATTTGTTGACAAATTGCTCTCAAAAGAAAGATGAATTGAATGTGTAAAGAAGGGAATGTTTGCAATTTTCAACATTTTCAACTTGCCAGTCTAATGCCAATGAACACCATGTCAGTCTAATGCCAATGAACACAATGCCAGTCTAATGCCAGTCTCGCTTACTCGATTTCTCAACCAATACTGTATTGGAATCGGATCACCGAATCCATTGCATTCCACTTCAATCGATCCACCCTCTTTCGAGTATATTAATGGCGGTGGCTTTGTGGAGAAACGGGGGGATTCTGGAAAAGAGGATTTGGAAGAAGATTTGGAAAAGAGGAAGATGGGTTTACAAAGCGTTTTAGAGAACGCATTAAGCTTAAAGCTTAAATCTTCAAAAGCTGACCAGCTATAACAAGATGAATCTCAAAGGGATCACTCCTTCCAACAGAATTCATTGCTTCACATCCATAAACCCCAGCATCGCCATCAGTGCTTCGATGGAAAACCAAGTTTGTCTAAACTCATTTATCTCAATTTCATCATTTTCTCACAAACCCCATTAGTCGTTTTCAGATAAACTCCATTTTTTGTCCACAAAACGCTTTCAACCTTAAATTTTGATATAAAACAAAAAAAGGAAACGAGAACGAGAACACGAGTTAAAGTCTGCCCAAACTATCGTACTCTTTGATTTCTATTTGATACAATAAGCTTTATTTCATTTTATCTCGCTTACTGGTGGTTGAGCGTCAGCTTGACACAAAAGATCGACTCGGCTTCCCAATGAAATCGTGTAGAGACGCTTGGAATTACTATGAATCGTTGGACGATCTGTAAAATCGATAAAAACATTTACATTTTCGCATTTTCCATTACGTAATAGATCAACTTTTCTTAATGCTCACAATTCACTTGTAGATAGGCTTTCGATGTGGCCGGTTTGCTGATCCGATTGTCCGCCTCGCACGCATACCATCCAGTGTCGGTTGGACGAATTGGCGAAATTGAAAGCTCGGCTTCCTAAAATGAATGATTGTGAGCCTCTTTGCCATTGGCAATCTAACTTTGAGCACAAACTTTCTTGGTGTTCGGCTTTGTAATTTGGCTTTTTGGCTTGGCTTGGCTTGGCTTGGCTTGGCTTGGCCTTTGAGAAGCTTGGCTTGGCCTTCGAGAAGCTTGGCTTGGCCTTCGAGAAGCTTGGCTTGGCCTTCGAGAAGCTTGGCTTGGCCTTCGAGAAGCTTGGCTTGACCTTCGAGAAGCTTGGCTTGGCTCTGGGCCTAGCTATTCTGGCCTCACTAGCTTACGGATTGTGGGACATTTGATACCATTTTCCCATCGGCAATTCAACTTTGAGCTCAATTTTCTTGGTGTTTGGCTTTGCAATTGAAATAGTTTTTGCTTGAAAGACTTGGTATCAGTGATATTAAGAATATCATTGATAATATTCAAAATTCAATAGCCGAACACCAAGAAATTTGAGCTCAAAGTAGATTGCCAACTTAAAGTTAGATCGCACAGAAGCTTCTCAAGTTCTTCTATTGTGAAAGAACAAGATTTGTTTCTAGAAAGTAGTGAGAAGTTTCTAAGATATCTAATAAAGTTTTAAATTTGCCTAGATTTAGTTTTATTCTACCCTTCCCTACCTGCACTGTTGCCCTTAATCCAACATCGGTTGTCCTTATCGGTTTCCCATTGTATTTCCAAGAATATGTGACACTAAAATATTTCTTATCCATTTTAGAAGCAAACAAACTTTTCAGGAAAAGCGCTTGCATGACAATTCCAGAAAACATTAGCTCCCTCATTGACCGTTTTGTTCGATGGAGCATAATCGATCGTGGTTGGCTCTAAATGATTACAAAATGAAAGATATTAACTAAGTACAGGGTGCGTCATAATTATTGCAACAAGAGCTCAAAGACCGTTTTCCAAACAGCTTTCTTATTTTTTTTGCCCCCTTTTTTGTTGTGTTGCGTTCTATCTTCTTTATTCTTGCCTAATTGCCTCCCGCTCACACGAAGAAGACTGTTCAGGACTGGTGTGTGGCCAACTTTCCCTCAGTGATCACCAAGGATGAATGGCCTCCAAACTCACCGGATCTCAATGTGATGGACTTTTCCATTTGGGCAATCTTAGAGGCTAATGTCTGCTCTCGAAAACACACAAGTTTGGATTCTTTGAAGAAGTCTTTGACCAAAGGATGGAAGGCGACTCCTCAAGATGACATTCGGGCCGCAGTGGAGGCATATCCGAACCGATTAAGGGCTGTTATCAAGGCAAAAGGCAGTCATATCGAATGATCTCTTGTTTCCTTATTTGTTACTGTTAAATAAAGCTATTTCTGTTTAAAAATCTTCTTCCAGTGAAACTTCTTGGTGTGCAATGCTTTGAGTATCTTGTTGCAATAATTATCACGCACCCTGTACAATACAATAACTAGAATCAGATATTAAATGATATCTGATTCTAGTTATTGTATTGTACTTAGATAACAAATATTTTCTGTATGCTCAGTACTTTGGTGCACAGTATGGAAAGTAATCAGCCTTTAGAATGAAATTAATACTTTACTCAACTCACTTGCAAATCTCAGAGATATCCGCGAGCTTGTCTGCCCTTCGCTGCTCTGAGCTTGACAAATGTAATCTCCCTAAAAATGAAATAAAATGAGAATTGAATTTGATCTCACTTTATCATCCTCGCCGAGTTGCGTGATTGAAAGGGTCGAATTTGCGCTTATCGTCGCTTCATCCTGAAAATCTTTTTTTGTAACAAAGCTTCTGAGTACTTTGAGTTTAAAAAAACAATACTAGCATGCTATAAAAGTTTAGATTTAAATCTAAACTTTTATAGCATGCTAGTATTGTTTTTTTTTACCTTTATCCAAGTGATTTCCGGTGGTGGATTCCCGTCAGCAACACATTCGATCGAGAGCGATGTTGAGGGTAAATGATACTGGATTAGACCATCCGGTGGACGAACAATACGAGGAGCTGCTGGAAATGGATTAGAATGCATCAAGGCTGTAAAAACTAAAGCCAAGCATATTGTCTAAATATTTGAATAACTGTGACTTGGACTTGTTACAGAACAGTTTTGCAACAGTCCAGAAGATGAACCTCGCTTTCGTTGTTTCCATCCAACTCCGCAAATCATCTTACAGTTAGTTTTGGCCTTCATTGTAGACCGGCTACGAAAAATTTCAGATTCTTCACTTGGTTCCCAATGGAAATAGATTCCTTTCTCATTTCAACACCAAAATTTATCGCGTAAAACAATACTTTCAATTAATCTGACATAAGCAAATGATTTGAAAACGAAAAAGAAACGACGACGCGGCACTCCAAAGGACTACCTCAAAATGGCGGCGACGTCAATTGGAATACGACGTTGCGCGAAAATTAATATTTAAAATTTGCGACACAAATTCAAACTTAACATGAAAACGTTTCGAAAAACACATTGTTTTCTCTGAAGGTTATTCTCAACTGAACCATTCAACTGAACCATTCAACTGAACCATTCAACTGAACCATTCAATTGAACCATTCAGCTGAACCATTTAACTGAACCCTTCACCTGAACCATTCAATTGAACCATTCAACTGAACCATTCAATTGAACCATTCAACTGAACCATTCAATTGAACCATTCAACTGAACCATTCAACTGAACCATTCAACTGAACCATTCAATTGAACCATTCAACTGAACCATTCAATTGAACCATTCAACTGAACCATTCAATTGAACCATTTAACTGAACCATTCAATTGAACCATTCAACTGAACCATTCAACTGAACCATTCAATTGAACCATTCAGCTGAACCATTTAACTGAACCCTTCAACTGAACCATTCAACTCACAATTCACGACGATTTTCATCTGTATTCCGAACTCGGGTCTGGTCGGTGTACGGGAGAAACGAGTGAGCACGCATTGATAGACACCCTCATCATTCAATTCAATCGAATGAATGGTCAAACCGAGTGGAGGAGCACGACCAAGACGACCTGCGCAAATGAAATTATCATTAATGGAAAGAAAATACCTTGTAATTCAGGCGCCGCATGTCCATTATCTTGAGTAAAAGCACTGAAGATCAATTTCCCGTCTTTTCTCCATTCAATCGAGTATTTTTCCTCATCCGGCAATGTGAGTGCACAGGGCAGAGTCAGAGATTTACCCGATGGAGACCAAAGGATTCTCATCTGCAATTTGAACGAACTGTAAACAGCCAATATCTGAACAAACAACAGACTGAACATCTTTTAAACTCTTTAATCAGCTAGAATATTCAATTTAACCGGATACTGTAATGAGACAGAACTTTACAGTAGTCAAATATGGTACAAGGAAATGAACAAAGCTTAGGACCACTTTAACAAGTAAATACCAAAAAGCTAGCTTATCAGAAGCAAAAAGATATTCAATGGGGAGAACAGGTGGTCTAAGAATGGAGAATAGAGAGTAGGAGACAGCGTTCAGAGCCATCCATTGACACCAATCCACTACTTTCCCTTTCTTCCCTTCTCCAATGGGACACCAATGTTTTTACAACGTGTATCCACCAAAAGCTGTGCCCTTTTCCCAAACACATCCCAATTATCCTCATTTTGTAGAAAGTGAGTCAAAAGTATGCTAATTTTCGAATCAAATTTAGATTTATTTGCAAAAAAAAATTCGCACAAAACTGGAAAGATATCAACTACGGTAATACAGTTATAATACAGAATGAAGAGATTGTAAAGTTTGGTAGCTTATCTTAATCTATCTCAATCTATCTCAATCTCAAACATATTAACTACGGTAATATTATAATACAG